AAGTGACTGAACTGATGTAAATTGATTTCCACACCTCTAGAGGCTAGAAGCCAGGTGGTTCTTTATGAGGGCCGTGAGGGAGGGATGAGTTCCAGGTCTCTCTCCTTGGTTGTAGGTGCCCATCTTCTGCTTATGTCTTCACTTGATCTTCCCTCTTTATATCTTTGTGTCCACATTTCTTCTTCTCAATAGGAACAACAGTCAAGTGGGATTAGAGCCCACTCTCATTATTTCATTTTAATTTAATCACTTTTAAAGACCCTATCTCCAAATATTGCTACACTCTGAGATATGGGGTGAGAGTAGGAGGTTGGACCTCAGCAGATACGTTTCCACTGAGACCTAATTCAACCCCTAACAGATAGCATGGCAGGGAGTTTTGGATTCTAGATTAGTCAGTGAGCTAGGGAATTAAGAATCTTCTTGCTTGTTAGCCATAACTCTGATTAGTACTTAGAGAAAATAAATATTAATTATATTATTCCTATGCAAGGAAATATAATAAAAATGGGCATCCAGTCAAATAAATTATTCAGTTCCATCCTGTAGTGCAATGCAGCCTGGGCAATTAGATCCCAGCAGGCTGGCTATCCCAGGATGCAGCCCTTTGGCTCTGAATGGCATCCCACCACATTGGAGAAGTTCAGGTTGGGTGAGAAATGCCTTCAGTTCATTCAGCTTCTGAACCCCAGCTACTGCCTGAGATGTCCAGCCCCAACGTTCAAGCCTCTCCCAATGGGAGGAAGTAAAAGACTGACAGCAATTGATGAGTTCTGTGACCTTGGAAAATGGGCTCCCAGCTATATTCTGAATAAAGACTGGGCATTTCCTTTAGGAAAGCTCCTGAGAGGCCAGCCATTGCCACCAACAGGCACATCAGGACATCACATAACTAACACCTTTGTAAGAGGTGACTGAAGGTTTCAGAACTGGGCAGATAGCTTCATCTCTTCTCCAAATTCACTCTCACACATGCAGCTTTGCTCTGATGGATCAATCAGTCCTGATGCATAAAAAGATCTGAGGAAGAGCAGGGCCAGAAAGCTTGTATGTGCATGGCCTTCCGGGATTGGAAGGAGGGGAGACGGGATACAGGGAAGGGAGGGGGAAAGAGTAAAGGAAGGAATACCAAAGAATGTTTTGCTCTGTCCTTCATGGATTTATTACTAAGTTGCCCTAGTACAGATGCTCTGGCCCTCAACCTTTTGCCAAAACCCTCCCTGGCTTTATTTTTAGTCATACGGATGGCTTTGGCCATCTTTGGATGTGCATATCACAGCATGCGTGCATGGTGGTGACTAAACGAGATCTACTCTCTTTTTAAGGAGGACATGAGTGTGAACAGACTGGCCCAGCGTGGAACATTTTCACCACTTGGAGACTTGTTGGAAGCAATGTATGGAATTGTCCAGAGACACTTGTTCATTTTATAGAGAGTTCACTTCCTGTAGGGGAAAATGAGGAGGATGTGCCATGAGCTTAGTCTTTGCTGTTGACCTCAGCTACAGAAAGCCTGGCCAGCTGATCTATGCAGCCAGACTTGCAAAGCACCACCCGGTGCTTCATGTCCAACTCCCAAATTTCAGTGAGTGAATTCTCAGAGGATTGCCAAACCCAGATGTACCATGGGATACCAGGCATCATCATGGCTCAGGCCAAGGGCCCCTCCCCAGCTTCATTTCCAGCTTTCAGGTGATCCCATGGAGAAGGTCACTTCCTGTAATCTCCCCACAATCTGTAGAACTGTTCTCCAAGCAAATCCGGGGAGACATCAGTAGCTGTAAGACAACAACAATGTATCTCCACGGAGACACAGAAATAGTCTAACTAAGGACCATCCAAGCAAGAGTGGCTGCTAAGAGTAGATATTCGGTAGGGACTGAAGAAGTGATTCAAGGATGTTGTCAGTTGTGGCAAGACAGGGTCTATGTACTCATTATAATCATTGAGGACATTACTGAAAATGCAAGGGCACTGCCCATCACCTGCAATGGCCACTGTTAGTTACTTTTTAAAAGAAAATATCATCTTTATCTGGGATATTCTCACCAGAAGCTAAGAGACAGGCCAGCCCAGGGACCCTCATCTGGTAGCTGGAAGTAGTGAAGTTAGGAAGTGGGAAGGAAAACAAGCTCCCCCTTTAACTTTCTTCCCTGGCATTCTCCTTCCCAACTTCATTCAATAATAAATCACAGTGTATGCTACAGAGGCTAGGCCATTATGTCCTTGTCTGCGGATGGGCACTGCCAAGGGCATTGGAGCAAGTTGCCTTTAGACAAAAGGTGCCCTCAGGCATCTGGGTTCTTGACTATTTTTCTGCCTTAGTTTCCAACACATCATTTGAATGACCAAAAGAGAGGAGAGGCTTTCTTTCTATATATCCCATCTGTGGAATAAATATCCAACATTCATGATTCTAGGCTTTGAGCAGTTTGGGTGTTGCATGTCCTAGTTTTCCTTTAAAAATCAGCTCCCACACTACTGTCTAATATCTTTGTAAAAGATGCGTGAACCATTTTATTTCTTCAGTGCTATGGGACGAACTCTCACAAATGAATAGGCACTGGTCTGTTAATGCACTGCTTCTTGCAGGTGAATTACTTTCATTTTCAGCAAGGAGTCTCTAGATGTATATCCTGACCCAGAAGAGCAGCTCTGTGATACCAATGCAGGCCATCGATGGGGGTGATTTAGACACTTTCCACATTGATGGCTGTCAACTTTGCACACGTGAAAATCCAGCCCTGGACCACTTCCATTACACATTAGCTGACCATGTATTTATCAACCTCCTTTTGTTTTTAAAGTTATTGTGCAGTTCTTTCTAAAGTTGAACAAGATGAGACATTGTTTGTGTCGAAGCCAGAAGCTGTACAGTGTTTCTCTATAGAGTCTGAATGTCCTCAGGTCCCTCTCACTGACCAGGGCTCCTTTCCCCTCACACAACCACATAAGCAGACAGAAAACTCAGTGACTGGTAGTCTTACATTTACCCTTTTGCATCTTGAAATAAAACACCACTCAGCGTGAGATGCTCACTTCAGTAATTGTTGGCATTCTAAATTAAGACACACCTTTCTCTAGGAGAAAAACTTGAACCAAGTCATTCCTAACTCTCAGTGTTTTCTCATACAGGATTCTTAAGATGCTTAAAACTGTGCTCCTGATTGTGAAGTTGCTGTTTAATCCACACTTTGGATTTTAAAGATCAATGTGTTTGAGACATGACCCTTTACACAGATTAAAAACACAAGGTTATTTCAAAAAATTCTTGAAAAAAGAGCACTTAAAAGATAAATATATTTGGGTACAAAGACATTTTGAAATCCATGCATAGTTTTTTTTTTTTTTTTTTTGAAAGGCAGAGTGGACAGTGAGAGAGAGAGAGACAGAGAGAAAGGTCTTCCTTTGCCGTTGATTCACCCTCCAATGGCCGCCGCGGCCGGTGCGCTGCTGCCAGCGCACCGCGCTGATCCGATGGCAGGAGCCAGGAGCCAGGTGCTTTTCCTGGTCTCCCATGGGGTGCAGGGCCCAAGCACCTGGGCCATCCTCCACTGCACTCCCTGGCCACAGCAGAGGGCTGGCCTGGAAGAGGGGCAACCGGGACAGAATCCTGTGCCCCGACCGGGACTAGAACCCGGTGTGCCAGCGCCACTAGGCGGAGGATTAGCCTAGTGAGCCGCGGCGCTGGCCTCATAGTTTTTTTTAATAAACATTTTTCATGAACTTTTTGAAAGTCCCTAATATGCATGGATTTCAATACTATTGAGCCCAAATAAACTTATCTTCATTTTCCCAAAGTATTTCAAAGCTGTTCTCCATACTGCTGACTTTTCTTTTCACAAACCAGTCTTCAGAATTCTCACTAACAAGCAACTTTCAAGGAAGGTCTTTGAACATAATCTGAGCAGAGGATGAAATTAAGAAACAGCTAAAATGGGGGTTGGCCTTCTCACCCTTTCTTGAAACTGATAGGGCCACCCACCCATTCCTCATCAGGGCATGCACTTGCTTTGGTAAGTGGGTGCTGACTACCCACCCCCATTGGTTGCTGCTCCCCATTAATAAGCTGTGATTACTCTATGTCCATCACTCATTCTCAGTGCCGTCCATGGTAGTCTCAGAGTTCGTGCTAGTTAATGCTCATCCTACCCAAGGAAGTGGGAAAACTCTTTCTGAGAAATCAGCTAACACCAGAGCTCCAGTCCACTGCAGAATACAGAGCCCCTCCTCACCCCATGCAGAAGTTAGGGTCTTCACTGCCTCCTTAGCACCCTCCTCTTCCACCACAGCCCAGACCCAGTTCTCTCTTATTTACAGACCTCCTGAAAACACCTGGCAAGTTAGCATCTGCTTTGCTCATTTAAACTGCTCAGAAGCAGATACATGCAGGTTTTGAATCTGATGCTTGGGATGGGCCTTTATTGCACCAAACCAGATGATTGAGCTGGACAAAGGGGCAAGTGGATCAGTGAGCTGTTTTTCCACCTGCAAGGGAGGTCATCCAGTTCTAAGTGGTGAGGGAGCCCCTGAATTTACTACACATGGAAGGTTTTCAATATGGCCCTTGGCCACTCGGAAGGGATGGAGGGGACACTAATGCTATGATTTTAGTGTTACCTCTGGTGAGTCTGTAAATGGGGTACCTCCCTAAGGAGGTAGCTGGGACATGTGGCAACCACCCCCTAGGAATCCTGCTCAGTCACTAATTAGATACCAAAAGCCTCTACTGGAGTAACTCCTCCTCCACAGAATCCATCATTTGTTCTGTGTTGTTTAATTTGTGTGATTTGGGGTTTTGGTTCTATTTTCTTATGTTTTCTTACATGTTTTGGTTTATTGCTTTTTAAATTTTTGTTTGGTTTATTTTCGGAGATGAAAATGAATGTTCTATGTGAAAGCTGAGTTCCTTGTTTCTTTCTTTTACCCGTGGCTGACTGCATGTTCTCTATTGATGTCTTGTTCCTGGTGCTTGACAATGACCATCTTGTCTGTGAAAGGAGGCACTCCAGCGGGCTTGCATGCCCAGAAGAAAGGGAAGTTTGCTTGGTTTAGTCACTCCACAGAGACCCATGGTAATGCTCCCCTGTGCTCTGTGTGTGTGAGTGTGTGTGGGTACCTACCAGACTGGAGGGGAGGGCATTTTTCTTGATGGCTTGTGATGTGGTGGTTGTGTTTTTGTGAGTCTTTGTGAGGGGATGGTAACAAGTCCCTCTCAGAGCCTCTTCATATGCATGGAATCAGCAGGTGTGATACTCAGCAGCAACTTTCCTTGATGCAGCCCTTCCTTGGGTAGTGCAGTCCAAGATCAAGGTCACTGTTAATGCAACTTGGTACCAGTACAAGCAGTGCCTTGTGGTTATTCCTGATGCCCAGGCCTTCCCACCCCTATTTGTTTGTCTTTCTAAACCTAGCACCACTGCCATCCCAACTCTCCATTACAATGTAAGGGGCTCTCTAGGAATGAAGCGTTACAAAGCCAGATGGCTTCCTATCCATGGCTCAGTTCTTTAAACCATAATGCCTGGGGAGTTAACAAAACCTTAGGTCAGAGGTGGCTGGAGATAGATGTATTGAAAGACTGAGACTCTTCAATTTTGTGACTTCTTCCTTAGTTTGGATTGAATGAGGGCCCTGGCGAGCTCTGAAGGTCTATCTTCCAGATCCCAGTGCTAAACCCACCCCTGTGTCTCACCAGCTCCCTCAAACCTTGGGATACAAAGTTAATGTAAATACTGCAAATTGTTTACCAGCACCACTGCTAAACAATTCACTACCCTACTATGATGTTTCCAGAAACTGCTTTGGTTTTAAGTTCCTTGTCCTGTCCTAGGGTGTACTGTGAGGAGTTGGTCAACACTGGGACAATCAACATAAGAATAGTAGAGGGGACAGATACTTGTCCCCTGGTCTCAGTCCTACCCCAGCACATTGTGTGACTTTGGCTGTCACATCCCGTCTTAAGGCCTCACTCTCCTCTTTTGCGAAGTGAGGGGGACAGGTTAGAGCTGGGTAATTTCTAATGTCTATCCAGCTCTCAGCTTCTATGTGATGATGCTCAGATCCCTCCACTGTAAGGGAGTCCTAGGTTGGAGAGGTCTCTCGTGTGACAGTCAAACAGATGGCGAGTCATGAACTTTGTGTTTGTATGCTCTATGTTCTTGATACAAGTCTCTTCTCACCCACCTGGTTTATCTTCATCCAAAAGAAAACCAGAAAATCCACATCCATCTACGTTATGCATACATTCAGTCTTTTCCTGGGCTGTGGCAGTCCCATGGGGACTTGTGGCCTAAAGCCACTCCCTCACCAGTTGCAGATTCTTTGATTTCCTCAGCCAGATGAAGAGTTCTGTTCTGGAAGTAGAGCTGAACTAAGGCCAATGATGTCATATCCACTCTAAAGAACAAGAGCTGGCAAAATCAAGGAACTTGTGTCATGTTGAAAGGGTGACAGAAAGTGAAGAATTCTTTAGGTTAAACGTTTATTTAGAAGAAAAATCATTATAATAAGAGAAACAGTTGCTTTTGAGTCATCAAACTGGATTCTAAACTAGAAAATTCCTGCTAACCTGGAAATCCAGCCTAGAGTAGCCTGGGGAAGAGGCTGGAGATTGACTAGCCAGGTTGGCTCTGACATTAGATGGTTTATAGCTCAAGTCAATCTGTTGAGATGGGAATGTCAGGGTTTCTGAAAGGGATGATTGTACCCCTGGTAGGCTGTCTTCAGGCCACATTCAAATTTAATTTAATTTTATGCATTCCACACTTATATTCTTGAATTTCTAATGTCTGCAGTGCTGGTTGGAATCTTATAATGGGATTCTAGTGATGGCCATTCATGTCAAGCTCTCTATTTGAGAAACAGTCTTAGATGTGATTGACTCAGGACCCAATGTGCACTACAGGAAAAGGGGTCTTCTCCAAATCCACCTGTCCCTTCTACATACAAGCCAGACCCTAATCTTGGTGATGGAACCCCTTGGAATTGGTGTGTCAAAAGAACCAATGAAGAGAAAACCTTTTTGTGAAAGCCCCTCTTTCTATGGAGAATGGTAGATGCAAATGGAAATGCTTCCACAGCTTTTTTTATGCAGTTGAGTTAAGGGGAGTGAAAGCATTGAATGGTCAGTTTTTTCCTAGATATGCCCTACAGAGTAAACTGGTTACCAGATGTCTTCCCATAGTCCCGCCAGTTTACAGTGTCCTTGAAAAGCAATCTTTCCCCCAGACAAGCAGCAGGTATGACAGTCAAGGAAACCCAGGGCTCAGCCCCCATAGATTGTTCAGGCTCCTTCCTCCCAACCTGTAGTCCGGCTCAGGATTGCGTGTGTTGCAGACTAATGCTCTCCTATCCCGTTTTTTCTCCTCACCCTCCACATCTTGCTCTGCATCCCTTTGACTCTTGCAGTGAGCATGCCCACAAGTGAGACCGAATCTGTCAACACTGAAAACGTGGCTGGAGGTGACATCGAAGGAGAAAACTGCGGGGCCAGGCTGGCGTGAGTAGGCACGGCGAGCCCAGGGCTGGGGCATTCTCTGGGGGTGGGCTGGGACGCATGCTTGTGCAGGCTGAATGGGTTGGCTCATTCCTTGGAGGAATAGAGTTAGATCTAACCACAGGAAGCGAAGCTCAGGTGGTTGAGTGGTGTGGGGAGAAGAGAGCCCAGGCATCGAGGATGGCTCTGGGGTTGAGTATGCTGTGAGTCTTAGAATGATGTTAGCCTTCCATTCAGCACTTGTTGGGCAGGTCTGGCTCTTGGATTTTGAGCTCCTTTTCATCAGATCAGAGTCTTACAGAGCATCAGGAGGGTCTCTAAAGTCTGTTTCTGTCCAGTCCCTCTCTCCCCCTTTCACAAGAGATGACCCTGGTCACTCCTACTATGATTGATGACCTAGAAATAAAGCAAACAGGTAAGAAAATACCCTGAGAGATGAAAGCATTTTGGTCCTTATGTAAAATGTTTAGTTATCCTCCTAAAGAAGGGACACAGAAGTGCCTAAAATGTCCTTTTGAATTAATGGAAAATTCACCTGTGCTTAGCCTAGAATGAGACCAGTCCCTCCTATAACCAAAGCCCACACTTAGGTGTTTCTATCTGCCCTTTCCTTGTCGAATCCAGACCCGCGACTTCTGTGAGCTGGCTCTGGACTAGAGGTGGGCGGGTGAAGGCACAGGGCAGAGGCAATGGGAGCAGTTCCCATGTGAATTCTCACAGACGCAACCATTAAAACCAATCATGTCTGTGAAATACCTCCTCACCCCAAATGAAGGGGAGAGGGCTTAACTGCCCAAAATCAGTGAAATGCTGGCTTAGCTATCAATGTTTCCAAAACAGACGCTGGAGATTGCATTTGTTTGCTGTCAGGTGGCCGCACTGACCTAGAGTACGAAGCCTCCTACCATTTAGGGACCGCTTGGCAGAGTGACAATTGCTTTTCTTGTTGCCCTGAGGTACAAGGCGGTAAATTCACCCTGGTAACAGTGAGGAACAGCCAACAGAAGGCCCTGACTAGAAACAGTCCCAGTAAGATGAGTTTTTCAGTCGCCCCTGCAAGGGAACCACATCTTGGCTCAGCCCCTGCAAGTGGCTCAGAGCCTGGGCCAACCCCAGCCTTTTGAAAGGTGAGCTGTTGGTCGATCTGACCATAGCAGTGCCGGCCCTGGGAATGGCCGTTGAGCCACTGGAGGAAGAGGACTGAGGCTCGGAGCGGACCAGCTCTTGCCGCCTGTTTCCAGGGCACAGGGAGCCTCGGCATCACTCACTCTGACAGTGGCACCAGGGAGTCTGCACTGCAGATTCTCAGCATTGTTGGGAAGCGATTATTGTCAAAATGTTGTTAAAATACGATGCTAATTACATTTTTAAGCAGCAGTCCAAAGCTCTTCCCTCTCCTCTTCTTTTGGAATTATATACAACAAACACTGGAGTTTCTGGAAGTGGGCCCCAGACAGCAACACTATGGAAAGGCATTAGAAAGTCTTCAAAGTCCACAAGTTCTAGGCCTTTCTGTTGTCTTAACACTGAGAGTAGGATCGTAGAGAAGACGGCCAAGGACCCTGTGACTCACTTTGGGGCACGAAGTCCCACACCAGGAGGCGCCAGGGAGCTGGCACCAGGAAGTCACTTGGGAGTGTGAGGCTTTGTTGGAAAGACAACATGATTGTCCCCTGCAGAGGGAAGCTGGCAGTTTCTAGTCTATCCATCACTTCCTTGGAGCGTGCACCCCACAAGCTTCAGAGCACTGTAGAAACTCTGCCTGTTATCTCTACGCATTCCACACCCATTCTGTGCATACAAAATACCCAGCACAGTGCCAGAATTATAATATGCTCTTCATAAGCCATGGCCTTTCCTCATCTCCCTAACCTTCCCACCCCACTCCAAACCACGATGGGATGGGACTGCCAACATTCCTTATGAGAGAGACAGCACAAGAAGCTCATACAAGCTCACAGTCTTGTGTGATAAGATAAGGTCAGGATAAGGACTTGCAGGCACTGGGAAGGCCTAGGAAGTGATAGTTCCTGTGGAGCTCAGGGATCAGAGGGAAAAGAACTGTGAAATGATATTTTGCTGGGAAGGCAGCAAGTGGGCAAGGGAGGCAATGAAGAGGAATGAGCCTGCAACGTTTAAAAGAGAAAATGATAATGAGACTGCAATAGAATTTGAAGCAGGTGCCCAACTTGAGGGATCTCTAGGTAGCATAGGGTCTGTGGGATGTGGAGATCCAGATCTCACTCTGAACACAGATAGAGGCAAAAATATGATGTGCTCAGCATGAATACTACCAGTGAGATGATGTGGCATGATTGGATCACAGAACAGTAGGAAGCAGACCAAGGGCTCAACCTGACACACAGAAGAGTAAGACCAAGAGGATATAGATAAAAACATGTTAGGAGGACAGCAGCATTGGCCTGGAAGCCAGGGGAGGAGGAGTTTTAGGACAGGTGTATTTATAAGAGTAATTTAAACTGTGGAAAATGGAATGAATGTGTAAGTATTTTAGTGCAATTTTTTTTCAAATTCATGTACATTTTTTTCATGACATGAGTTTTCTGTGAACTTTTTGAAGATTCCTCATATCCATGGATTTCAAAAATCTGGAACACAAGCATGAATTTATCTTTTAATTCCATTTTCCACCACCCTTCTGAAGTCTCTTTGTATTTGTCCGTTCACTCACAGTGCTCAGCGGGGTGCTAGGCAATGGGGGTGCATGGCCTTAGAGAACATGGCCATGATCCCTTTAGAGCTTACAGCCGAGCAGGAGGTGACACTCAACAAATAAAGAGGGGATCTGGATTGGAATTAGGGTTAAGAAGGAAAAGTAAAGGTACTGGAGAGTTAAAAGCAGAGGGACCTGTTAGGATAGGAAGAGCTTCTTTGAAGAGCTGAAGGAGGGACACTTGTATGGAGGTGAAGAATGAGAAAGAATGTTCCAGTGAGAGGGAAGCAGCTGCCTCCAGGCCCGTAGATCTGGCCAGGGCTTGAGGGAGAGGAGAGAGCGGGGGACAAAGCAAGAGACAGACAGGGGCTGTAGACCCCTTAACAATCAAAGTCTTTGTCCTAAGAGTATGAGGTGTCATTGAAACGTTCCAGGAGCAGGGGACTGGTTGGGGAGGTTGGTGTGCATCCTTGGAGGATTGCTGTAAGGTTAGAAACAGCATGGGTGGGTGCAAGACACAGGAGAGCAGGGGCAGCAGCAGTTACCCCTGTGCAGGACGTCGGGTTGTCTCCGTGCAGAGGTGCTAAGAAGTGGCTGGCTTGGGGGTTCTGGAGCCATCTTGACAGACTCTGAAGGTGCACTGAGGTGCGGCTTGGTCAGTTTAGGAAAGAGAGGGGTGGAAATGGGCCAGCATGGGGCAGTCACTCCGTGCGGGCTCACGGAAGGGGAAATGAGAGCAGGCAGTGTAGGGAGGCACAGTGTAGACAGCCCCTTTCTCTGAGCAGCCATGGGGCTGGATTGACCTTTGCTTTCCAGGTGCTCTCAGCAGAGGCTGGGGGCTCCGGAAGCTGCCTGCAACAGCTACTACACCAGGCAGCCACGTTCATCTCTTTGACTCGTTGGGCTTCGATGTAAGATTTCATCTGCATTTGGCCACCTGAGAAACTGCATACCAGGGGTCCAGGAGGTACCTAGGGTCCCATCCGGCTCTCACCATCTATGGTTCTGTGGAGAATACGGAATTCAAAACAGAGGGCTGTTGGTGGAATTCAGACTGAGGGATCTCAATCATCTCATCCCAGAAAGGGAAGGTCAGGTGTCGCAGGAGCATGACGGGCAGTGCAGCGAGTCACACTGAGGTCACTAGACGCTCACTGCTCAGCATGGAGGCTGCAGTGGCAACTGACATCGCGAATGTGGCGTAACCTCACGGAGGAGTTCAGTGGCCTAGGAGCACTCAAAACAGACAGTGGGGTGAGCCAGAGTCAGAGGTTAGCCACACAGGCACAGCAGAGGGTCCAGGTGATATGGGGTCTGTATGGTAGTAAGGGGCAACCTTGCCATGCCCTTGGGCCCATGCTGAACCTTAGAAGTCGGGTCTGATGCTAGTGCTGGTGTCTTGGAAGGGTGTGACCAGAGGACCTGAGGACGGTGGAGATTGAAAATGAGAGATTGAGACTGAAAGAGCAGCAGGGCCAACAGGAAAACAGACCATGGCAGGGACCCACCTGGTGGTTGCAGCAGAGCCGTGTGGAGACAAGGTCTAGGATGTGCCCTTCCCAGCGATCACAGCCATGGTGGTGATGGAGTTGTGGGGTGCAGGGGCTGAGTCAGATGGCTGCCAACGTGGATGACGACTGCAGTGCCATCCGATTATGGTAAAGGCAATTCGGGACAATTCACAGAAATACTATTTCACACAGCAGGTAGTAATCATATGGTGCTCATTACTCTGAGAGGGAAGCCTGAAAACATAAATAGCTCCCAAGAAGTTCAAGTATTTGTCAAACAATGACAAATGCAAACTGAGTAACTAAGCCAAAAAAAAGTTGTGAGTTGATCTGTAATTTTGAATCTCAATATCAGAGAAGCATATGATGACCTTCCAGAAGCTTTGTTTTGGAAGCCTGGACAGAGAAAGTATCTTGGGTGGAATGAACTTTGGTTTCAACTGAGTAGGGCTGTCCTGATGGTCTCATGTGTTAATTATTAACTTTTTTCCTTGCTCTTCAATAATCCTCTTAAACATGAGATAGGAATGATGGCTCACTAGGATGAGTGATGCCCCAGAACTCATTGGAGCAAGTTCTATGTGCCCCACTGGGCCTGGGAGAAGCTAGAGACCTCTGCAGCGCTTGGAGAGACTCTAGAAGTCGGTGAGAGGAAGCACGTGCCACTGGTTCCCCAGCCTGGCGTGAGGAGGGGCGCAGCCATCCCCAGGATTCCCCAGGCTCCTGGGCTCCCCTCCTCACACTGCAGGAGCAACTTTCCAAACCTCCCACCAGGAAGCGAAGGACTGCCAAGAAACAAAGTCCCTCTATTTCCATGAAGCCAGAACCTACAGTCATCTGCCCCTGTACCCCTGTACAAGGGGAGGATGTGAGAAGCAAGGCGTTCATACTTGACTGAGTTCTAACCTCATCTATCCAAAGGCCTGGAGTTTGCCTTCATCTCTGGGCAGCTGCTACTTAAGCAATACCTCCCCTTGCCTAAGGAGAGCTGTCTAAGCAATATGGTGCTCGGCACCTCCACTGATCATTGATAAAATGTGCCAGTTACTGTTAATGTGTTTGTTTATTTATTTATTTATATTTAAAAGGGAGGGAGGGAGAGAGAGAAAGAGAGAGAGAATGTTCCATCCATTGGTTCACGACCCAAATGCCCATAACAGCTGAAGCTGGACCAGGTTGAGGCCAAGAGCTTCAATACAGGTCTCCCACCAGAGCAGCCCAGACCCAAGTATTTGAACTTCCACCTGCTGCCTCCCAGGGTGTGCATTAGCAGGAAGCTGGAGCTGAATTGGAGGTGAGACTTGAACCCAGGCACTCTGACATGAGATGTTGGCATCCCAAGTGGCAGCTTAGCCACAGCACCACAATGCCCACCCCAAACATGCCAGTCATAAAAAGCAAAGAATGTTTCAGACCCAGTGAGTTATGTTCCCAGTCTCTTGAGGACAGCAACAAGGACAGTAGGAAAATCGGTCTTCCTGTGTGCTGTTCAGCCTTGACCTCATGGACCTATAACTGAGTGGATAAGAAGGTCGTGCCCGGTCTCCCCCCGCTCCACATGTGCAGAATGCCAAGCAAGGTCTTGTGCTTCCTGAGCGAGCTTGAACTAGCATGGCATTTAGGATGGCATTTCAGCCTCCCCTGGCCCTGATCCTGCCCTGGGCCCGTGTCCAAGTTGCTTCCTTGGGGATACAACACCCACAACTAAGGTTCCGCACTAGGAGGTTTCAGGAGCCCACTTTGGCTTGTGAGCCACTTGGCTGAAGCGAGAGTGAGCTCTCCAGGGAAGGGCACTCCTCAGAGGAACACGGAGACAGGGCCCCGGGGCCAGGCAGGGCTGGGGAGACAGAGTGACAAGGCTGTCACTCTGGCTTATGTGGGACACCGAGGGGAGCAATCTGCCAAAAGGCAAGCCTGGACCAGGGAGGCTGAGGGCCCCAGCTCCTCAGGGGCCCCGCAAAGAGGGGAGAACCCGGTCCCCCAGCAACCCAATTAGCAGCAGGGAGACGTTTGAGTCCCCCTAGGGCTGTGGCTCTAAATAAAAATGCTGCCCTGGGCTCCCAGGACTCCTCCCACGCGCTTTGTTAACTTGTGATTAAGACCTTCAGGCCTAGCAGGCGTCTTTGGGGGAGGGAAAAGGTTGTTAGCTAAGGGTTCTGAACAGTAAAGGCGTTTGGCTCTGATTCTCTGTGCCCCAGAGATATAATTATCTCATGCACGATGGCTTTGCCACCTGTCACATCTTCTGCTTTAATTTCTTTTAATAAAAAATAACCAGAGGGGTTGCTGTTTTCTGGCTACGTGACACAGCTCGCTCTCTGCCAGGTTGGGACAAACTGCCCTGTCCTCTTTTCTGCCCGGGTCGCTCCTTGTCTGTGGCTGTCGTCGCCATCCCTTCCTGTCTGACCTGCAGCCTCTGTCTGCTGGGCGTGCTCGCTGCACCGGCCGTGTCCACAGTGAGCACCGAAGCCGAGCCGACACGTGCCTTCGCATTCTGGACTCCAGTGCTCTTGCTCAGGGCCTCCCTGAGGGTTCTGCCATCCCCAGATACCCTTAGAGCAGTCTCCTGGCAGGCAGCAGGGAGGGCCACGCCCACCCTGCTGTGCCCGTGCCTGCGACTGTCCCCCTGGCGGATCCTTTGTCTTCATAGAGGCCTTCCCTGCCTCTCTGGCTGTGCCCCAGCTGCAGCTCTTCCCAGCCTGACCTCATGGAGAGGCCTTGGCCACCGGGGGATGTAGTGAGAGAGCTTTCTGTACCCAGAAGGTGGCAAATTTGGATGCTCAGCTGGCCCAGTCTCTACATTGGTCTTCTTTCTCTCTGGAGTGGTTTGAATTCCCATTGCGCAGCCTTCCAGTGTCCGTGTGTAGTCACCTGGGGGAACATCAGACTTAGCTGGGGTGGTTTTTAACAGAGGAAATGCTGTGTCTGTCCTCTGATAACGTGTCCATTTTCTCTTTCAGCCACCGGATCTCCAAGTCGAAATTCAGGTGAGTGTGCGCATCACTCTTCCTTCCTTCTCACCATCAGCGCCATCCTCAGCCACTGTTTGGGTGGCCCAAGGTAAAATCTGCCCGTTCAGAGGCAGCAGAAGGGTTGGTCTTCCACAGGAGTAATTGCTTTCTTTTTGTTAGCAAGAAAAGTCTGGGAATCAAATCGGGACAGTAATATTGAGGTGTGTGGAATTATTGTCTTAGACTGGAAGTCATTTGATAGCTCTGTCCCTTGGTGGTTACGACCCAAGGGCTGAAGTCCAGTGAAGATAAGGTGCACCTGCTTCGTGGGGCTGGGGCGCGGTGAGACATGAGCCATGAGGACAGAGACTGGGCTGCATGTTGCTGCTCTCTGACTACCTCAGCAGCTTCCAGACGCGCTGGGGTCTTCAGCCCCTGCCTGCCTCTCAGCCTCAGCCCCTGTGCATCCCTGCAGGTCCCCTCCTTCTTGACTACATGCCTCCTTGCACTCGCCCACGAGTTCCCTGTCCTCTTACACGTGGAGCCTTGCCCCTCCCCCGATGTCTTCACCCAGAGCACTCAGACTTGCACCACCAGTCCCAGCTGTGCCTGCATCTGTGACACCTTCTGCACACTCCCCAGGGGGAGTTTACTCGCCCCTGCCTGATTCCCACAGTGCTTTGCTGCTATCTCTAGCACAGCCCCCCCCCCCCCGTGATACCCTGAAATACCAGCTCCTGGGCCTGTTCCCCCGATAGGCTTTGTCTGCATGTCTCAGAGACATTACTTCCAAGCAGCCTAGCCCAGTGCCTATCCTATGTGGGCTGTGCATACATGCATGTTGAGTGGATGAATGACAAACACGTGGCGTGGGGATGCAAATTTACTCCCAGGAATCTTAGACCTGCCTAAAGATATTGGCTGTTTATTTTCCACGATGGATCTAACCTTGCTTCCTTGGCTCACCCGGGATGTAGTGGGAACGTAAGTGCCGCTACGTTCTAGTCTAGGTGGGTAGGGTTAATGTGTGATCTCTCATCTTTCCCCTTCCCCAGCTCCCCTGTGGGATGGATCTGGATGCGTGAGGGTGAGGGACTTTGAATCCCAGGAAGCAGGGCCTGGTGAGGACACAGCAGGGGCTTCCTAAATATCTGCTGAGTGAGTGAATCAATGGTCTTTCCCCAGGGAGATAACAAACTTGACACAGATTCAGACGAAATGTCTAATTTGACAGCCAAAGCTGAGAAAGCCTGTTGTGCTTCAAACAATTCCAGAGTCTCCACCCTAATGAGAATAAATACATTTGAAATTATTTCCAAAATATTACTTTTATTATGTGCAAATGAGTAAATCGTGAAGGAAGGAGGGAAGGAAGGAGGCAGGAAGGAGGGAGGGAGGGAGGGAGGAGGAAGGAAGGAGCGAGCTATCATGATCTGGAGGATGGAAGAGGGAATTACATTTTTGTAAAGAATCTCTCAAGCTGCCAATTGCCCAGAACGCTCAGGGTTATCCAGGGATATGTGGTATAACCTGCATTTTTGAGATGGAAGGGAAGAGCAGTGGCACCTCTCCTGAGGTCTCTGCTTGGCTTTGAGACCCTGCTGAGCCTGCTATAGAGCAGCCGTTGGCCCTGACCTCTCACTCTGGGGAGAGTTCCTTCTTCTAGAGCCCCCAATCATGATATAGCAGAAATACGGAGAGCAGATGCTGTATTCCCAAAAGGCTTTTCCTAGTTGCTGCCATGAAGCCCATTTTCAGATGAAGAGACTGAGGATCAGAGAAGTCCAGAGTCACATGTTTCATGTACATCCATGTCAGAACTCACACACAAGAGGCCTGCTGCTGTTCACCATGACAGCTGGTGGTGAGGCTCTGTCCGGCAAAACTAAGCCCTGTTCCTGCACAGCTGTTGTATCTTGGGTACAGTCACTAGCACTAGAGCAGTGCCTCTGAATAGAAATAGAATTTCTTGTGAAAGTTTTCTAGGAGCAAGTGTTTGGCATAGCAATTAAGATGCTGCTCAGGACAGCCAGGTCCTGTAATAGAGTGCTTGGGTTCAACATTGGGCTTCCAATCCCAATTTCCTGCTGATGCACACCCGGGAGGCAGCAGTGATGACTCAAATAGTTGGGTCCCTGCCACCCACATGGGAAATCTGGATTGAGTGAGCCCCTAGTTCCTAGTTTTGATACTGGCCCAGACTCAGGTGTGGGGGTCATTTGGGTAATAAAGCAGTGGATGGCAGCTTGCTTGCTCTCTCACTATATACATATATATATATATATTATATGTATACACAATATATATTATATATACACACATATATGTACACATATACACTCATATATGTATATATGATGTTTCTAATAACTGTTCAAAATTTTAAAGGATTTGATAGTTCATATATCTAAAACATTATTATTTCAACTTGTAATTAATGGGAAAAACTTAGTAAGCCCTTTGACATCCTTATTTTAAACTAAGTCTTTGGGATCCAGTGTGTATTTTACGCTGACTGCACATCTTAGTGTGGACTGGCCCCATGTCAGTGCACACAGCCGCATGTTGCTTGGGGATACTGTATCAGACAGTGTGATTCTAGAAGTTCCAGGCAGTCGTCTGATTCAGATTCTGTGGATTCTAGTTGACATCTAAGGCTGGCAGCAGGTTGAAAATACCAACAAAATTATCAGCACACTCTTAATTATTTTCTCTGTTGAATGAAACTGTTTAACAAAGAGAAATATGAGGGGTCTTCAAAAAGTTCCTGGGAAATGTGTGCTGTGACAAAAATACAGGTGAATTTCAAAAACCTTTGCACCCACATAAACTTATCATTTAATTCCATTTTCCACAAACTTTGTGAAGTACCCCTGTAATCAACGTTGAGTGTCAAACGGGCCTATTCCACCTGTAAAACTGAGTGGTACATTGTGGCTTATTTAAGAGAAATATTAGAATGGAACTTTTGGACAAAATTAGTAGATTAATGGACTTATTATATTAAGGCAATAATGGAGTATTTCCTAGTATTTTCTATCAGCAAGGCCCAATTCACATTTGTCCCAGTCTCCAACAGCCCATTTTTATGAAAGAATTAAATCTCATGATTTTCTGTGTTACTTGTTCTTGGTCTCAATCAGTAGAAAACAGAAACTTCCTCTAGCCTCCAGAGAGAGCCTGCAGTGCCCACCGATTTGATGTGGTCCGCTGTCCGAGATGCCCACAAGCAGTGATGGGCCAGGCAGACTACTGTAGGAGCTCTGGCCTCCTCATCTCCACCCTCAGCCCTGAGTCTCTGGAGCCTCATAAATCTCTGTTGTCTCCACTGCTGAGCCAACCTGTCAGCCCTGAGTTCTGGTGTATAAGATGGGACTGTGCAAGCACCAGGGGTCAGTGGCACAGATCTCGCTGGAGAAACAAGAACCATGACAGTGAAAGCTAACTGACAACCCAAGGAAATGGGAAACCTCTCCTAGCTTCTCCACGTGCTCAGACACCTTCTATTGTGACAGCTTGCTTGGCACTCTCTGCAGGTTTCATGCAGACAGGGACTGCGCCTGTTGCATGAACTGTGGACTCTCTAGCCCATGGTAGGTGTTTAGTGAAGATTTCGTGCACAGGTCACGAAAATTAGTGATGCAGACAGTAAATGCTCTGGGAGTGCCACATGCTGGGGAGACTAGAAAGTTTATCATGGAGATGTTGAGGCCCAAGCTGAGCTTTACAGGGTGGGCGAGTGTAGGAGGCAGAAGGTGGAGGCCCTGATACTTGAGGGACCGTCTATACAGCAGAAAGTCAAAAGCCAGGCCCAGAGCTGGGCGAAGGGGGCAGAGGCAGGGCTGCAGTGGTGCAGGAGCTCAGAGAAGCCCAGTAGACCCATTCGCCTCCATCCTTCTCTGTCTGCACGGGGATGGTTCCGTTAGTAGAGCAAATGGCTTCCAATCGGTGTGAAGGGAACGTGACTGGAAGGCAAGTTTCTCCTCCCTATTTTACCACTTAATTTCTGGATCTTCCGTGAATACGTAAACACAAATAAATTTACACATTCCAATAAAACCATTACATTTATTATACAGTAGGAAGTGTTGCCAGGAAACCAGTTGTCAAGCAAAGCTATATTTTGAAGAGTGGGAGGTGTGTAATTATCTTTAAATACTTTCTCTGGATAGTAATTACCCCCACCCCCACCCCAGCCCAAAACCCACGTGACTCCCTGAAGGGCCCTGTGCCGGAGCAGCCCCCTGTCACTGGGGTGTGGGGGAGGGTGGCGGGCCTGGCTGGGCCCGCTCCTCTGGGAGCCCCTGCAGAGCAGGTCCAGAGCCATGTGACAGAGTGGCCAGCCCTTGCAGCACTCCACATCGGCTGCCCTGAACTTGGGGGAAGTGGTGCTTCAGGTCGTTGGTGTTCAGCTGACTCTAGGGTGGGTGCCTACACACTATAAAAGAAAGCAACTGTGATTGCTTGAGACACCAAGCAATTATCAGTGATTTCTATAGTGAGACTGTGTATTTAAAATAGAGTCTTTGCAACCACAATGTAGGCTATTTAAGATCAGAGATGAGTTTGTCCTGAAAATTCATTTTTCAGGAGAAAAAAAAAATACCCTACCAAGTTTCTGTACAACATAAGAAGCAGGGCAGTGCTCTGCCCAGGGAAGGTGCTCAGCCTCAGGAACTGGCGGCCGTGGAGTCGCTTCTCGCTGTGGAGCACCTACAGCTCCCTGTCCCACGCCTTTGTCCCTCTCCACACACGCACTGCTCAGATCGGGGGTGCGATGACCAGAGATGACAAGCATCCCAAGTGCGTTTGGAAGCTGCAGTTTTCTGACCACTTGGTGTTTCTTCTCTGGGGAGGGAATTTTTGAGTGTCCCTGAGAAGGCCTGGCGCCCACTGTCAATGGCATTCAAGCAGCCCGCGACCCACGGGTCGGATCAGAACATCTCCCAGGTGGCTCCTTGCCTTCCCTTCCCTTCCCGCCCCGCTCTGCAAGCTTAGCCAAGGTTTGGTACCAGGATGTTCTACAGACCAGGCAGACATGCAGATGGGACCAAACTGTCCCCAAAGGCAACTTGGCAGGTGGGTGCAGGGATCCACTTCCCTGGCATCCCGGAGTGTGGGCTAGTTGGAGGGACGCCCGTTCTGGAAGTAGAAGAGTAAGGCTTGACCCCCATGACCGGTCTTATGCCTGCTTTGGACACACTCGCATGTGGTGCTGCCTGGCCCAGGGGCCTGGAAACAAACACACGAGTGGCAGAAGTCTCACTTCACTCACAGAGTCTGCTGTTCCACCTGAACCCGTCCGTGGAGGAAGGGCCTCTGCAGGGGTTCATGGTCATCTCTGGCCAGAAGGCCAGAGACACAGATCTAGAATATAAGGCCTGATTCAGTTTCACTGCCCTACAGTTGAAGGCCAGCGTTCACATACTGATCCTGTACTCCACACACAAACATGCACACACCTGAAACCGTTATTTTAGAAAAGAGTTTCCTTACTAATTAAAAACAAAAAAAAAAACAGCATCCTTATGATATGATCTGTGCTGTGATAGTTTCTGTCCTAGTCATTTTTCAGTGCCAGAAATGACCTCCTGGGTAGATTTCACAACCCACTTGTGAGCTGCAGTATGAAGTCTAAAAATCTGCATGCTTAGAGGATGTCTCCTTGACTGGGGGAATTTGTAGATTGGGACTCATTTTATGGAAAACTATAGTCACAGATTCTGCTTTGCTTCTTTACTGCTCCAGCAAGTGGGTCTCTCTGTGTGCCCTGCAAGCACCCCCAGTCCCCATCCAGAGCCGAGCATGCCCCTGCTCATGGCGGCCTCCCTGTCTGGGGCCCTTCCTGTGTCACTCAGCCCTCTCCTGGCTCAGGGTGTCACCCTTGCAGATCACCGGGGCTAGAACTTCTGGCAGCTCCTTCCATACTTTCCCACCTCACCCTGGGTATCTGGTCAGCTCAATAGCCTACAGATCCTGCCTCCGAAATTGCTTTGCCGTTACTAAAGCGGCTGCCGTTATTGTCTCTAACCTGCAAAACCAGAAGAGTCTTTTTCGTGTTGCCCCTGACCCAGAAGCTGATAGGGGGCTGTTTTTGTTGGGTGTTTCAGTTTCCGAAAATCAAACCCGACTGTGTCCCCTCTGCTGCCACAGCCCTAGGCACAGCCTTGTGCTGCCTTCCTCCTGCACCTCTCTCTGCTTCTCTGCTTTGCACAGTACAAGGCGCTGATGAAACGTGTCATCTGCCCAGTTACCAAACCAGCTAAGTTCTCTCTCTCTATCAAGAGCATGGAACTTAGGATGAGTTATAAGCCCTTTTATCATAGAATGACAAAATGGGACCGATGAGCTTCATGGTTCACAACCATAATTACACATTAGAACACTCTGGAGACTTTGAGAGTACCCAACCCACAGAAATTTATTTGATGTTGGGGCCTGGGTACAGGTAAGGTTTCTTTTTGGAGGAAATGGCTATAGTTTTCTTGGGAAATCTGTGCATAACCAGGTTTCAGAATCACTGACAAAGGCCCTGAGAGATGTGGGAGCACTTTAGGGACCGTGGATGAGCTGAAGACGTCTGAAAAGGCGTGTGTGTGTGTGTTGGTGGGGAGGGTCTCTTGTTTTCCCAAATAAAGGATACACACTTTCAGTTCCTCCAAGGATTCTATAACCCATAAAAGCAAAGCACCTCTGCTCCTGCTTGTCCTTTACTTTGGAGGCGGTGTAGGGTGAGGTGCAGGAGATCGGCTGGGGAGAAGACCAGGCCTGGCCCTCGCTCCGTGGTATTAGCCCAGGAATCCCCACCCGCCGTGGTCGTTCATTTTCTCCACTGCAGTCAGGGTGACACCTGCCTTGCAGAGTCATTTAAGGAACCAGTGAGACGTCCTGAGCAGGACCGGATAGGCTGGGCATGTTTCAGGCGCCTTAGCTGCTGCTGATCCTATCGTTAACAACGCCGCAGTTACTAACAATGCTCTTAATACTTGCAGTCCCACTGCCAACAATGCCATTAGTAGAAGGCATTTCCAGTTACGAGCACCTTCAGCTCTAGGCAGATATGCTAGGTGGCGTTTTATCGATTCCCACCACAACCCTGTGAGATTGGCCCCAGTCCCATTTCACAGATGACAGGACTGAGGCCTGGAGAAGTTCAGACACACCCACCCCCCTGGGCCCCTGCAGCACTAATGAGTCAGTGGGGCAGCCCCACTCTCTTGCAGGAAAGCGTGCCCCCTGGCCACTTTGCTCTGGCAAGGCCAGGTGGGCTAAGGGTGGAAAGCAGCCCAGGCGGGGAAAATCCCATTTCCTAGCCAACCCCACCTTTCTCTGCCTCCCCTTGCGCAGCCGCTACTGGCGCCGGTGGAATAGGTTCTGCAGGAGAAAGTGCCGCGCAGCGGTCAAGTCGAACGTCTTCTACTGGCTGGTGATCTTCCTGGTCTTCCTGAACACGCTCACCATTGCCTCTGAGCACTACAACCAGCCCCACTGGCTCACGGAGGTCCAAGGTGAGCCCCAGCCCCGGCTCAGTCCCCTCAGGACTGAGTCCCCCGGGAGACAGAAAAGCAACCTGTGGCTGTGGCTCTTGGCAGGTGTCAGGCTGGAGTCTCTGAGGGCCTGGTGGCTCACAGGAAAATGCCCAACCACAGTAGGAACAGACGCGGCTCACCCGACTGGGCCCACGCCATCTGCCTGCCCCCACGGTCGCCATTGGGTCCAGGTGGTGATAAGGACATGAGCTGCCGCTTGTTTAGCTAGCTCAGACCCTTGGCTGCCAACTTCTCAGAACGGATTTTCAGTGCCCCAGGCCTTATGCAGACGTGCAAAGATGAAATGTGCAAACGGGCAGGAAGTGCAAAGCAGAGGTCCACGCCTCGGGAGCTGTCCTCAGGAGGCCAGGGGAGGGGACGGTCGGGAGTGTCATACTCCCAGCAGAAGAGGGTCCCACTGACCACTCAGCCCTCGGCATCCCTGCAGCCTGGGGATTGCACTCCAGAATTCTGGGAGGCAGCTCGGTGAAGAGGTCCGGCTCAGGCAGGTTGGACTGGGCAGATCACCACCCTCTCTGGCCCTCATCTCGCTCTGTGTGGACAAAGGAAGTGCCCGCAAAGCCTTCTGGGCCGGCAGCTGCTCGCAGACACTGCACTTCCCAGGGTCCCTTTCCCACAAGCTGGGCTCCTGCAGGAGTGGGCAGCCTGGGTATCCCTGGAGATGGGAGTGTTCTTCCACTGGTGGTGGTGTTGCTAACAACCCTTTCTGTCTTCCCCCTCCCCATCCCTGCTTGGATCCTGCTGCTCTCGGGAAAATATCCTCCCCCGACAAGACACGGCCAATAAGGCTCTACTGGCCCTGTTCACTGCCGAGATGCTGCTGAAGATGTACAGCCTGGGCCTGCAGGCCTATTTCGTGTCCCTCTTCAACCGCTTCGACTGCTTCATTGTGTGCGGGGGCATCCTGGAGACCATCCTGGTGGAGACCAAGGTCATGTCCCCCCTGGGCATCTCTGTGCTGAGATGCGTGCGGCTCCTGAGAATATTCAAAATTACAAGGTATTTGGCTCCCTGTTGATGTTTGGAGATGGGACTGGGGAGAAGTTCTTTGGGAAGGGAAGAGAGGAGGAAAGGCCTAGGTGGGAGAGTGGCTATAGTTTCTAGAAGGTTCTGCCCTCAGCTCATATGCAACAGAGGGTCGTTAATAATTCGGAATTTCACTGGCTGCTAATATCAGAGGTTCTACTCAGTGGCGTAAACAAAGTAGGTTTATTCTATTGTATGAAGGAAGTCCAGAGACAGGCAGCCAAAATGTCTTCAAAGAAGGTGTCAGGGACTCAGTCTCTTTCTGTCCCTCACTAGCCTTGGTGTTGATTCTACCCCAAAGGTCACAAAACAGCTCTAATTCAAAGCAAAAAGAAGAAGAAAAGGGGCTGATGGGGGCGCCCTCCCAGCTGAGTTAGCCTCTCTTACCCCAGACACACCCACTAGCCTACACTCAGAACAAAATACAAAAAGTAATATGTGTTGGTGAGGGCATGGAGAGATTGTAGCCTTTGCACATTGCTAGTGAGAATGCAAAATGTAATGCAACCACTGTCGCTCCCCCTCTTCGTGGAGGAACGACACAGGACCCTGCGCTGTTCTTTCGTCTGCTCGGCCCTCCCCGGGTTTGCTGCTGGTTCTTCCCGGGTTGGCTACTATCCCTTCCACCTCCGTGGAAGGGCGGTTCCCCCTGCCACTTTCCCCACTTCCGCAGGGGAGCGGCACACCGCCGGCCGGCTCTCTCGGGGGCTGCACGGGTTCCCTTAGATGTTCCCCATAGATGTTCCTGGTGAATGCCGTCTCTCTCCTCCTTTATAGTCCTCCTCTGCCAATCCCAACTCGGCTGCCCACACGCCGAGTACGCTGCTCTCCAATCAGGAGCAAGTCCTACAGTTTATTAGTTGAACTGGAGGCAGCTGTGCGGAAGCTGTTTACTTCTCTCCCAGCGCCATATTGTGGGAGAGCAGATGCATAGAATAAGTCCTAATTCCAGCAACTCAGTCTAGTCCGGTTTGCTCCCCACAACCACCATGCAACTGTGGAAAACAGTGTGGCTGTCCCTCAGAAAAATAACAAATGGAATTACCATATTATCCATCAATTCCACCTCTGGGTATGTAGTCACAAGAGTGTGAACCATGGTGTAGGACAGATATTTGTACCCCTGTGTTCACAGCAGCATTTTTTACTGTGGGAAAACCTGGAAACAACCATAGTACCTTATGGTTAGTGGATAACAAAATGTGGTATAAGCAAGATGAAATATAGCCATACAATGGAATATCATTGTGCTTTTAAAGGAAGGGAGTTCTACAGTGTGCTACTACAGGGGTGACTCTTGAGGACTGAGTGAAAGAAGCCACTCACAAAAAGACAAGTACTGAGACAAGTACTGTAGGATTCCATGTATATGAGGTACTTGGAATAGCCCAGGCCGCAGAAGCAAGGGCAGGTGTTTGATTCAGTGGTTTAGATGCTACTGAGGACACCCACAGCCATATTGATGTACCAGAGTTCATGACCTGTCTCCGCTTCCCATTCCAGTCCTGTAAATGGGCACCCTGGGACGCAATGGAGATGGCTCAAGTACTTGGGTCCCCACCACCCAGATGGAGTTCCTGGCTCCTAGCTCTGGCCTCACGCAGAGTGAACCAGTGGGTGGAATTCTCTGTGTGTCTCTCTATCTATGTCTCTCTGCTTTCAAACCAGTAAAATAAAAATAAACTACAAATCACAGTAGACAGTAGAATGGTGGACGGGCACGAGGAGGAGTTACTATTTAATGGTTAGATTTCAGTGAAAGAGTTTTTGAGAGGGGTGGAAGTGGTGCTTTCATAGCACTGTGAGTGTCTTTAGCATCACTGAATTATATGCCTAGAAATGGTGATGATGGTGATTTTTGTGCTGTGTCAGTGGGAGGAACAATGTCTCCCAGAAATCTCACCAAGGGCGGCTGTTCTCATTGGCTGCCCTAGCTGTTAGGAAGACTGCGAAGTGAGGCTTTTGGCTGGGCTTTTGCTACTGCAAATGCAGTCAAGATCCATTAGCTGTGGAAGGAGCCTGAGGGACATGGTGCTACAAATGGCTTTCATCCCTCCTTCACACGTCCACCCCCTCTCCATCTGTCTGTCCATCTGCCCACCCAAAGACTGCAGACTCCCTCACTGTCCAGGGCGGGCCGAGATTTTCATGATGAGGATGGGGGTGGAGGCATGGGGAGGGGGCAGTGTGCTCTGGGACAGTTTTCAACTGGGTTGTGATCTGTTTGAGGCGGTGAAATCAATTTATTGGATCACAGCCATCATTTTTACAGCTTTATTGAGATATAATGCATATACTATACATTCACCCCTTAACGTATACTAGTCAGTGTTTCACACACACACACTGCTTTGCAGCCATCACCACACTCTAGCTGTGGGACATTTTCATCACCCAAAAGAGAAAGCCCTCCTGTGCCAGCTCTCGGCGACCACTGCTTTACTCTGCCTCTTGATTTGTGTGCAGTGGACAGTCTGTGTCAGTGCAGACATGTGGTGTTCTGTGTTGTTTCAAGGTCCTTCTGTGCTGCAGTAGGTAGCAGTACCTCAGTCCTCTACTGCATGGCTGAGTTACATGTTATGTCTGCATTCCTGAGTGATGAACATTTGGTTTCATGCTAACTTTTGATTACTATGAATGATGTTGTTATGAACATTTAGATCCATGTTTTTGTATACCTGTATGTTTTCTTTTCTCTTGGATATATACCAAGGAGTGCTACGTCTAGGTCATGTGGTAACTTTGTGTTTAAGACGTTGAGAAATTGTTTTCTAAATAGACTGGACTATTTTACATGCCCACCAAAAACATACAAGGGTTCTAATTTCTGCACCTTCTTGCACCCATTGTTTGCAACAAAGGAATGATATCGAATAGAAGAACATTGGAGGGGCTCATGTGTACATAGCACTGAGATCTGAATCTGATGTGCGGTGTAATATCTGTTTCTTCCTGTGGATGGCAGTCAAACAGAGAAGAAAAAATCGCAAACACATGGAAGGGGGCCTGTTTTCTGAGGTAGCAGCCCCCTCTTCTTAAGAATCTCTACTCTGGGGGCAGACATTTAGCCTAATACTTAAGATGCCCACATCCTGTATCCCTGTATCAGTGTCTGGGTTCCATTCTCGGCTCTGGCTCCTGACTCCAGCTTCCTGCTAATGCTGATGCTGGGAGGCAGTGGTGATGGCTCAAGTGATTGGGTCCCTTCCAACCACTTGAGAAACCGGGATTGAGTTTGTGGTGCCTGGCATCAGGCCCAACCCTGGCTCAGCCCTTTCCATTGTGGGCATTTGGGGAGTGAACCAGCATCTGGGCTCTCCTCCTCCTCCTTTCCTCTTCCTCCTCCAATAAACTAAAACAAAATAAGATCTCTGATTAGGGACCCAACAAATCTGTGCTGTGGGGAGTCTTTGGTGGTCATCACACTAACAAAGGTTGGCACACCTAGCCCAGTGTCCTTCAGAACTTGGCTGAGTGAGTCAGCTGGCCCTGCAAAGCATCCCGTGGTATTTCTGTTCTCTTCACACTTTTCTCAGCAACCACCCAGCACACACACTGCTGTTACAGATGATCCAGTGAGACAAGGAATTTAAAAGTGTTGAGTTCAGTGGTGGCCATTTGGTGCTGTAGTTAAGAAGCTGTTTGTAATGCCCACATCCCATATCAGGGTGTCTGGGTTTGGGTACTGGCTCAACTTCTGCCAGCTTCATACTAATACACACCCTGGGAGATAGCAGATGATGGCTCAAGTAGTTGGGTCCCTGCTGGGCCAGGCTGAAGGCAGGAGCTGGGAACTCCATCCAGGTCTCCCAGGTGGGTGGCAGGAACAGACTACTTGAGCTATTACCTGTTGCCTCTCAGTGTGTGCATTAGCCAGAAGCTGGAATCTGGAACAGAACCAGGACTCAAACCCAGACACTGATACCAGACATGGGCATCTTAGCCAGTATCTTAACTGCTAAGCCAAAAGCCTGCCTCATGTACACGGAATTTACATCCATATGTTTAGCACTTCTGAACAACAGCCTCCTTCCCCATCTCCTCCCAAAAAAGAGCTCTTCCTAAAAGTCCTGAAAATGTTGGCATTTCAGGAAAATCCTTGGTTTGTAGTGAAAGTATTAGAAACACTACTGACACTCATCATTAACATATGTCAGTGCTTGCTCTGTGTCAGCATGACCCAAAAGCTTACATTTGTTAGCTCCATTAACCTTCACAGTTTCCTGTAAGGGGGTGAGGGAGAGGATAGGTTACTACCATTATTATTCTTCCTATTTTGCAGCCTAACAATGAACAAACTATGTCCCATATCCGAGTACCTGGATTTGATCCCTAGCTCTAGCTCCTGACACTAGCTTCTTCCTAATGTGTGCCCTGGGAGGCAACAATCGGCGGTTCAAGTAGCTGAGTTCCTGCATCCAAGTGGTAGACCTGTGTTGAGTTCCTGGCTCCTGGTTCTGACTCCTGGCTTTGGCCAAACGTCATTCTGAGAATTGCAAGCATTTGATGAATGAACCAGAGGATGGAGTGCTCATTCTTTACCTCTCAATCTCTCTCTCAGATAAATAATAAGTAATGTTTTAAAGGCAGGTGCACCAGTTTTCAGTTACTGTGTTCCCAGCCACTCCTTGAAACATGGGGCCAACAGGTCACACTGTCTTGTAGTGCCCGTGAGACGAGACTTCAAGAATGTCACATATGGAATCTTATGGATAGATAGATGGTGATTTTACTTGCTCCCCCTGAGGTCTGGTACAAGCTATTTTTTTTTTTTTTTTTTTTTGACAGGCAGAGGGACAGTGAGAGAGAGAGACAGAGAGAAAGGTCTTCCTTTGCCGTTGGTTCACCCTCCAGTGGCCGCAGCGGCCGGCGCGCTGCGGCCAGCACACTGCGCTGATCTGATGGCAGGAGCCAGGTGCTTCTCCTGGTCTCCCATGGGGTGCAGGGCCCAAGCACTTGGGCCATCCTCCACT